GCTTTCGTGTTATCCTCCCTCGGGATATGAATAATTGACTACTCCCGGAATCACGCTAACATAGCCTGGACCCTTACTACGTGTTGTTGCATACGTTCTTCTTTGGTATCAAAAATCCTGTATACCTGATTTACCACCACCTACGAGTCACATTTGATTTCGGTGACCTCAGAGTCAAGTCACCGGTCCAATTCACACCCTGCAATCAAATCCTCGTACTCTACTTCATTGTTAGTGAAAGGGATTGTTTTGATGGCTTGCCTTAAGGTTTCTCCTGAAGGTGTGATTAAGACTATTCCGAGTTCGAACCCTTTTACGTTGAACCTTCGTCCTTAAGTAAGGTCCAAACCGCCTATGTCGACTCCGACACCATTTCTGCCTCCTTGGTTGCTAGAGGTAGCAGTCCTCAAGTGAAATCAGCCACAAAGTCAGCCAAGGATTATGACTTAATTGCAGTCCTTGGATTATATTCTATGTTGAACTCACTCATTTTGACAGCCCATTTGGCTAATCTATTCGAGAGCTCGGGTTCATGGAGGATATTCCGCAAAGGGAAAGTAGCCACCACAGCTATCGGGTGGCATTGGAAGTAGGGCCCCAGCTTCCGAGCGGCAACTACGAGAGCCAAGGCCAGTTTTTCCAAATGTGGGTAACAAGTTTCTGCTCCTGGTTAAATTTTGCTAACGTAATAAATGGGAGATTGCGTACCTTCATCCTCCCGGACTAAAATCACACTTACTGTGACTTCGAAGACCTCGAGGTAGACTAGCAATATTTCACCTTCGTTCGGGTTTGAGAGAAATGGAGGGCTTGATAAGTACTTCTACAAATCCCTCAGAGCATGCTGGCACTCCTGTGTCCATTCAAAATTATTTTTCTTTTTGAGCAGTGCGAAGAAGCGATGACATTTTTTCGAAGATCGGGAAATGAACCTGCTCAATGCTGCTAACCTTCATGTGAGCCTTTGAACTTACTTTACGTTCGACAATTGATCCAGGATATCCTCTATGGCCTTGGTCTTGTCGGGGTTTACCTTAATTCCCCTTTGTGAGACCAGAAATAATGTGCATTTCTCGGGAATAAGTTTCATTTTATGCTTCCTCTGGATGTCGAATATTTATTGAAAATACTTATGGTGGTCACCTGCATTCAAAGACTTAACGAGCATATCGTCTATATAAACTTCCATAGTCATTCCTATTTGTTTTTCAAACATGTTATGCACGAGTAATTGATATGCGGCTCTGGCATTTTTCAACCCGAAGGGCATCACATTGTAACAATATGTACCGAAAATCGCTATGAATGAAGCTTTTCCTGATCTTCCGGGTTCATCTTGATTTGGTTGTACCCGGAATAAGCATCGAGGAAACTCATTAACTCGTGCCCCGGCGTGGCATCAATCATTTGATCAATATTTGATTGTGGGAACGAGTCTTTCGGCCATGCCTTATTAAGGTATTTATAGTCTACTACACACATGCGAAATTTATTGTTCTTCTTAGGAACTACTACTACATTAGCTAGCCAGTCCCGATATCTTACCTCTCGGATCGAACCAATATTAAGCAAGCGGGTAACCTCTTCTTTGACGAATTTGTTTCTAGCTTTTGCAATAGGATGTTTCTTTTGTCTTACTTGAGGTACGCTGGGATCTAACCTCAACTTGTGCACGGCTACTTCCGTCTTGAGATCCGGGTGTAGTCCTGTCCCCAAGTGGAATTTCCTTTCTAGGAATTCTTCGAACGGTGCAACTTGCTCCAGCTCTTCCGCCGTGGACTTCGTTGCATCCGTCTCTTCTGGAACTTGGAAATATCTCGGCACCTTATACTGTTCTGATTCCTCTGTCCCCAGGCTAACTTATTTGGTCGGGGGTAGGTTCCGGTTCCTGTAATTTCTATGGGCGTGTTCCTTTCCGTTGCTACTAGAGACCGAAATTGCATTCATCTCCCTTGTTGTTGGTTGATCACCTCTTATCTGCTTGACTCCTTCGGGCGTTGGAAACTTCAGCAATTGGTGATATGATAAGGGTACAACTTTCATCTCGTGTAACCATTGCCTTCCCAGGATGATATTGTATCTCATGTCACCATCTAATACTTCAAAGAGAGTTGATTTCATTACTCCTTCAGCGTTCATTGCAGCAAAATCTCTCCCCGGGTTGTCACACTTGCAAGGTTGAATCCAGCGAGGAGCTTTGTTGTCGGAATAATGCTTCCGGTGAGTTTAGCTTGCTCCAATACTCTCCACCGCATGATATTAGACGAACTTTTGGATCCACTAGAACACGTTTAATCTTAAAATCTAACACATTTAAAGAAATTACCAATGCATCATTGTGTGGTAACAACAATCCGTCTGCGTCCTCCTCTGTGAAAGTGATATCGTCTTCCAGGAGTCTTTTACTACGAATTATTGATACTTTCATTTTTCTTTCTTCCAAAAAGGTGATGCCGTTCACCTCCGAAGATCATATTGATCGTTTGACGTGGGGGTTGTTCTCCTGCTTTCGCAGGCTCCGCATTGTCTCTGTTACGACCAGAATTGTTCTTAGCTCGGTCACTCAAGAACTCTCTGAGGTGACCATTCTTCAATAGTGTTGCCACTTCTTCCCAGAGGTGTCGACAATCCCCTGTTCGGTGGTCGTTCGTCCCATGGTATTCACACCATAAGTTGGGATCCCTCTAGCTGAAATCGGATCTCATAGGTTTTGGGAATCGTGCCTCTTTGATGTTTCTCATGGCTGACACCAACTCTACTATATAGACGTTGAAGTTATATTCCAATAACTTGGAGTAAGAAGGATCCCGTGACCCTGACATTTCTTTATCATGCATCAATTTATTGTTCCAGCCACGATTAGTCCTTATGTCAGTGGTGAACTTGTTTGCTGTCCGGAAGCCTCTGCCACGACCTTCGGTCCGCTCATAGGGAAAAAATTAGCCCCTCCAAATTCGCCTATCCGTGTGGTAATTATCTTTTGATTTTTCTCTGTTCTTTTTCCGTCCTTTGGTCGACGATGGAAAGCCAACCTGATCATCTTCGATCCTTATTTTTGACTCGTACCGATTGTGGACATCTGCCAAAGTTGTTGCTTGAAACTCAAGTAGGCTTTCCTTCAGCTTTCGGGATGCGTCTTAGCTTCTTAGATTCAATCCTTTGGTGAATGCCTCAGCTGCCCATTCATCCAGGACAGCCGGGAGCAACATTCTTTCTTTTTGGAATCGGGTAACAAATTCTCATAATAATTTGGATTCTCTCTGTGTGATCCTGAATATATCGGTCTTCCGGGCTTGTACTTTTTTGGCCCCGGCATGAGCCTTGATGAATGAATCTGCGAGCATCTCAAAGGAATCTGTGGAATGCTCAGGTAATAATGAATACCATGTTAGAGCTCCCCTCGTGAGAGTTTCTCCAAATTTCTTTAGTAACACAGACTCAATTTCGTGAGGAGCTAAATCATTTCCTTTTACCGTCGTTGTGTAGGTGGTAATATGCTCATGTGGGTCTGAAGTCTTGTCATACTTTGGCACTTCAGGCATTTTGAACCGTTTCGGGATTAGTTCTAGTGCCGCACTCGACTTGTAGGGCAATTGAGTAAACTTCTTCAAATCCGGGCCTTTCAATACGGGTGGCACGCCCAAAATTTGGTCCATGTGGGTGTTTACTTCCCTCATAAACCGTAAAAGTTCATTCTTGAACGGGTCGTTCTTGTTGTTGAGACCTGGTCCGCTTCCCCGGCCCTTTGAAGCCAACTTTACCCCTGGGAGTGTTATTGTCGACACTCTGTGTTTTTAATTTGCGGGAACACCGGGAAGAATTGGATCTCGTCTGTTTGCATTATTCGAAGCCCCAGACAGTGCCTGCTTTAACTCCGTCATAACCTCATCATGCCGCGTGAGATGGCCTAGAATGATCGCCTGTTGCTCTTGCAGGCTCTCACCGCATCAATGACATGCTCCTTATCAGCATCATCGGGAGTTGTCTCCCGAACCTGTCGATGGTACTGCCTGTCATGCACCGACGTGGCATCATTCCCCTCATTGCGGGTGTCACTAATTAAATCCTCGAAATGAGGCTAATCCCCTCAAATTTCAGGGTTGTGCATGTTATTAATAGTGTTATCTGCCATTTTTTGTGATTTTTTCTAAGACAAAATAATCAAAGCACGTTAGTAAAAAAAATCAAGGATCAATTTAGTTGCACGGCTGTCTAGGCTCCACGGTGGGTGCCAAACTGTTTACCCATAAAATGGTACAGTTGAATCTATACGTGGTTTCGAGACAAGTGAACTAATTTGATCCTGAAATAATAAAATAATTGAAGAATGATAAAATTCGTAGCCTTAAAATGTAGATGAAACAACAAATGACAGTTCCGGGAACAAGGTTTTCGGGCACATCAATGAAGAGATCAAAAAGCGAGAAAGTAATATTGTATTAATTGAGCTCACTATTTATAGTTGTGTCTAGGGAAGGTGGTACTAGGATCCTGCCCTCCTTTAATGTCAATTATTAGGGTCATTGATGAAAATGTAATAGTGAACATAAATGTCAAATTCTCTATAATGGGCCATCGCTCTTAAAACTGCAGAATATTCTTTATTAAATGCTACCGGGCGCAGAGCATCTAATACACCTTTATAAACGTTATCCCTTTCGGTAACAAGCGGAATAGCTACGTTCAGTCATCGGGCATCCCCGTCTTGGATTTCACATGTCCTTCCTTTAGATGACCATGTGTCATATCATATTTTATCCTATACAATTGCATATTTCATCGTAGTGATCTTAGATTATGTCTTACTTATTAATAAAGTTTTTTTCCTTTAATGGGAGTGAATCTATTTCTATTCAATGGGCATGGACTCACAATAACTTAAAAAGTAGTGTAGAATTTCTTGCGTAAAGTAGTTATGTTTTAGTTAGCCACAAGTGTGTACTTGGAGGTGTGTTAATTAGCATTTGCTTTTCGAAAGATTTCTTATGAACACAATCGGCTAGAAATAAAAATATATTTGCTTATTGTTTCCTTGCCAAAGAGAACATTGATATTACATGGAAATATAAATGCATAATTGAAATTTATAATAGAATTAGTGCAATTGGACACTACTATATTATTTGCACTTACGTAACACATACATTAAAATCAACTCCATATCCCAAGTCGCAGCTGCAGCAAATCCAACAATCACTGCAATCACTATTTGTCGTACAATTTCTTCCACAAGTCATAAAACCATTAACTTGTGGGACTAGTCTCCTTTGAAGTCCTGGACGATCATGATCAATATCCCATGTTGACATAACTTGCATCATTGAGTACCACGATACATTAACAGAAGTATTTCACGATAATAATTATCAATATAACATGAATAACACGCATTAAGACATCTCGCTCATAAACCAAAAAAAAAATGTTTAGACATATGAAATATGCATAAAGTCACATATGTACCTTAATACATATATAGTGACAACTGACAAGCACAGTATAGAATTAAAATCTACAGCTAAGTGAGGTTGATACTTACCGCTAGCTACCAGGAGAAGAATGGTGAAAATAGAACCAAGCTTAAGCAATACCATCTTCGAAAATAATACTCTATATTTTATGAAAGTTCTTATGTGAGAATTGCTTTCCAAATTGGGTCATTTATCGGCCTCCCTTATAAATAAATAGCTGTTTGCGATGATCGATATATCTTAGTTATTTATTTATTCATATTTCGTAACTTGCTTTAATGTTCCAGTCTCGTTTAAGCTGGCCTCTTTTCCTAATGTAATATATAAATTTAGTTCCTTTCTCTTCCACACTACTCCTCCCTGAAAAGAAGGGAGTTTTATCAATGAAATCTAATTAATTAGTATAGTTAGATTGGGACTCTCATCAATAGAAATAAAAGTAATGAATTAAACTGAATTTAGATCCATTATTTTCGGAAGATGCATGTGAATATTGAATTGCATATGAGTATCGATTTGAAGATAGAACTCAAACCATATACTATAATATTTTGCAACTTGAATATGGCTATTGAAAAATACTAGGAGTATTTAATTGCACATAGTTTGAATGGAATTTGTACACATTTCCTTTTTTAGCTTTTGCACCTTTTCACCTTAGAATTTTAATAGGAGAATAAAGTTTACAATAAAAGTCTGATTAAGGTTTTAGAGTCCGTTTGACCAAGTTTTTAAATTTGGTTATTTTGAAAAAGTATTTTTACAAAATAGCAGTTTGTGTTTGGCAAAGTCATTTGAGTAGTACATTTTGCAAACACATTGTGTTTGGCCAACCTTTCCAAAAAATACTTTTAAGTATCAAATTATAAATAAGGACAACAAATGTTTAGTTTGCAATTAGTATGATCTAAAAAAGAGAAATGAATTTAGTTTTTTGTTATAAAGGAATTCAATTAAAATATAAATGAAAGATTCTAATCAATGTAATTACTCAAAAAATAAAATATAAAATATTGTTATTCCAAAGTAATAACATTGAGTAACTAGTATTACTTATTGTTTATATGATAATTTAATATATCAAAGTACATTATTCAATATAAATTAAAAATCTGCTTTTATGAAACTATTCCAAAGAGGATTAGAAGAAAAAGAATAAAAATATGATTGAAAAGAGAATAAATGTACGGTAGAAGGAAAAGGAAAAGGAAAAGGGTAAACTAATAAATGATAATTTGAAAACTATATATTTACTGTAAGTTTATTTTTGTTTTGAATAAATTTATTTTTTTGCTTCTTACAAAAGCTAGAATTTGTAGTTTCTCCTCAAAAGTAGAAAAATTGCTTCTGCTACTGTCACGACCCAAAATCCACAAAGGGTCATGATAGCGCCGGACACCGCTGTCAGGCAAGCCAACCATAAATACTTAATTAAATTCTCATTTAAATAATTGTGAAAACTATAATTTTCTTTCAATTTGGCTAGTAAAAGATAATCTTTACAAAATAAATAAAAGAATATTTAGAAGTTAATACAGAATACCCCATAATGATCCCAGAACCCGGTGTCACGAGTGCATGAGCAATTACTAAGGAATCAAATAAAGTACAATAATTGTCCGGAATACGAATTGGACAGAAAGTAAATGCAATACGCTGAAAGAGACTATACTGGCTGCGGGTCGCTTCGAGAAATGTAGCTCACCTAGTCTCTGTATCATCCATGCTGCTATGCCCAGTAGCCCATTAGAAATACGTGTGCCTGTGCAACAAAAATTCACAACAAGTGTAGCATGAGTACGAAAACAACGTGTGCTCAGTAAGTATCCCGTCTAATCTCGAAAAAGTAGAGACGAGAGGTCGACTTCGACACTTACTAGTAGTCCAATAATGATATGTCAATAATATAGTAAATCGAGGATTTTTATAAACAAGATTGTAATTCAATAGAATGAAGCAAGTAAACAATTCTTTCTTTTATAGGAAATTCCCAAATTCCTTTTCATCATTTATACATTTATTCTCAAGCCGGGAAGAAATAATATCACTTCAATAAATTTCAAGGCAAGCAATACAAGCATGCGCAAATCATGCCGAGGTCGTCCGATTCGATCCAACAATATATAAACTGTGCACTGCTAGAGGGTCGAATGGCGCGAACCATAGATGCATCTATTTAATCTACCGAGGCGTTCGGCCCGTTCCACAATAGATAAACACATTCAACAGTCAAATCAAAAATTCATCAAGGAGCAATTATTCAGAAAAAGGCAAGATTCTCTTTTAAAAGTAAAAAAATGATATCTAGCCTTTTAGAAATTCATTTACACGTTCGATATGTTTTAAGCTTTTTTTAAATTGTCTACAAGGTTGCAAATATTACAAGTAAAGCATGTTTTTGGCCCTAAGCTACCCGGACTTAAGCATAATAGTAGCTACGCGCAGACTCTCGTCACCTCGTGCGTACGTAGCCCCCACAATTAGGAGCATATAACCAATTAACTCACCTATGGGGACAATTCCCTCTTACGAGGTTAGAAAGGAGACTCACCTCGCTCCGAAGTTCCATAACCGGCATTCCACGCCCTTCCAAAGACACAAATATGCACTATGCTCCAAAACTAGCCAATAATTATGCAAATCCATTAATATATGTTCAATTACTCCTAATGATCCAATTTATAACAATTCCTAACCCCGATCGAAAAGTTAACAAAAACGCCATCGGGCCCACGTGCCCGGATTCCGAAATTTTTCGAAGATAAAGTTTACCCATAACCTCACGAACTCAAATATATAATTTACTCTCAATTTCATACCCAAAATCGTGGTCAAAATCCAAAAATACAAATTCTAGGTCTTTCGACCAAAACCCCAAGTTTCTACCAATTTCCATAGTTTAATCCGCAATAAAACAATGTATTTAACTTACAAGAGGTGGGATTAACTTACCTCATGATTGATGGTGAAAATAGCACCTCAAAGTTGCTCCAAAATCGGCTCCTATGGAAGAAATGGGGTTGAAGTGAACCCAACCTCGATCTAAAAGAACCTCACTACCTCCAGCATTTTCGCGCCTGCGGTGCATAAACCGCTCCTGCGGCCCCTGCTTCTGCGGCGCACATGCCGCTTCTGCGGTCCCAGGCTCAAGGCCAAAAATCCGCTTCTGCGGTCTCCTCAGCGCAGATGCGGCATCTGCAGTTAAAGTACCGCACCTGCGGTCACTGCACTTCTTACCCCAAACCGCATATGCGACCCCATAGCCGCTTTTGCGGCTCCGCACCTGCGGTCAAAACCTCGCAGGTGCGGTTACCCCAGATATCAGCAGCCTCAATTCTTCCTCAAATTCCAAAATTGATCCGTTAATCATCCGGAATCCACCCGAGGCCCCCGGGACCCCAACCAGTTCCAAAACATAATGCGGACCTGCTCGAGGCCTCAAATCATATTAAACAACGCCGAAATTACGAATCACACCGCAATTCGAACTTTATGGACTTTAGAACTTCAAACTTCTACATTCGATGCCGAAACCTATCAAATCACGTCCGATTGACCTCAAGTTTTGCACACAAGTCATATTCGCCATTACGGACCTACTCCAACTTCCGAAATCGAAATCCGACCCCGATATCAAAAAGTCCACTTCCGTTCAAACTTCTCAAAAACCTTCAAATTTCTATCTTTAGCCAAATGACTCCAAAACGACCTACAGACCTCCGAATTCACTTCTGATCGCGCTGCCAACACCAGAATCACTATACGGAGGTATTCCCAGACTCGGAATCCCAAACGGACATTGATAACACTGAAATGCACTTCAACCCAAACTTATGAAATTCTTCCAAAAATGCTAACTTCCACAATAGGTGCCGAAACGCTCCCGGGTCTTCCAAAACCCGATCCGGACATACGTCCAAGTCCGAAATCATCATACGAACCTGCTGGAACCTTGGAATCCCGATTCCGAGGACGTTAACTCAAAAATCCAATCTTAGCCAATTCTTTCAACTTAAAGCTTCCGAAATGAGAATTCTCTTTCCACATCAACTCCGAACTTCCCAGAATTCAATTCCGACCATGCGTACAAGTCATAATACCTGAAGTGAAGCTACTCAGGGCCTCAAACCGCTGAACGACGCGCTAGAGCTCCAAACAACCGGTGGGTCGTTACATTCTCTCCCACTTAAACATATCTTCGTCCTCGAATGTGCTAAGAACTGTGCTAGAGTTGTCCCAAATCACTGTTTAACACCTCGTGCACCTACCCGTGCTACTACAACCCAGTTAGGCGCATTAGCTCAATCAAATCTGACGATAACCTCTTCCATTAGGCAAATAAGCCTTAGGACCCAGTTTCAACATCCAAATTTCTTTGCCAGGCCTGCTTTCAACATATGAATGCCGTATCAATCACTATGCAATGTACCAGAACATGACTGCATACATTTGCCGAATTCTCACCATGCACCACATCATCCGCAGGACCATAATCACATTCTCTGATCATAATACTGACATTCCTCGAATCTGATTCTCACAATGTACCTCATGACATGTATAATCTTGTTCCAATTCTTACAATACTGCCACGACGGAAGAGACATGTAGAAATTCATAACCAACTGCCGGGTCAACAAATCATTGAGTCTATACTTCTGACAAGAACATCACCTCATTTTGAGCCAAATAATGATCTTTGCTCTTTAATATACTTCATACAATCCGATTGCACAGATCCTAGATCCCATAACCTTGTCTCACCCAGTACGAAGTGCTCAGGCAACAAGCCACCCCAGACATGACCAAAAGTCTCATATGATGCCCCAATGTGCCAATAGGCTACCAAAAATACTTTTTTATTTTGGCCAAACACATTAATTTTTGTACTTATGGTCTCCCAAAAGCTTGACCAAACGGGCTCTTAGTGATATTTCTCATTTCTATTCAGTGTGTTCACCCGTGTAACATGTAGTATATTACAGTACCTCAATGCAAATCAGTAGGACTAAAATGGCTAAAAATTCTCATAGCACGGAGTGATATTGTGGGGGAAGTGCACAATTAGCCGTTAATTAGAGCTGTATTTACTCTTAACCACAATCTAAAAGGTATTTACTCTTTAGCCAGTGCTTCAATAAAATTTTACCCGCGCGGACGAAAATACCCCTGTGCTAGACATGATGTCCTTAACTTCATAAGTTTTGTATAAATATTAAAGACAAAGTGTCCTGAACTAGCACCTTCTATTTTAAACTTTAGGACATCCTGTCCTTAAC